AGTCCTAATCTCTACTCTATAGGCCACTGAGCAACACTGAACTTCTAGTCCTAATCCCTACTCTATAGGTCACTGAGCAACACTGAACTTCTAGTCCTCATCTCTACTCTATAGGCCACTGAGCAACACTGAACTTCTAGTCCTAATCTCTATAGGCCACTGAGCAAACCTGAACTTCCTGCAGTTACAGTAAAAACTAAAAAGACCAATGACTTGTTTGAGGGTTCCTTCGCCCCTACCACCTATCCCATTTTCCTTTTTGTCCTTACTATAAAAGATATCTGAACATACCCTCGTTTTAGCATTTCTATATTGTCTCAACTAGGTTACAACCAACCAGCAATCATTCCTCCTCCAGTTTCTAAATAAGTCAACGAGAGGCCGTCTCAGAAATTGTATCAGCACAGGAAATAACTGAGGTGGTGGGGAAGATTCTGACAGCAACTTGGACTTTGTGTCATTAAGGGATGTAAAAGGGAAAATGCTATAAAATGCTGATCCATAATTAAGAATTTAATTCTTAAATCGAGGTTCTCTCCACTCTGCTTTTTTTTGTTTTTCTTCATTTCACTTAAATTGTCTTCCATTACTGAAAACACGGTTTCAAGAAAAATCTCAAAGCAGAAAATAAGTTGGTCTTGAAAGGGTTAACTATTATTAATACTAATATGATTGTCTCTGGATTATCTGACAGTGGTTATCTGGACCAGAAAAAAAATTCCCTTTTGCTAGAGCATTTATTTCCTCCTCCACTCAATTTATTTCTTCTTTGCTCTTCCTTGATCACAGACCACTGGGTCTCTGCAAATCCTAATGTTCACAAGGAGGAAGCCGGAAATAGTTGGAGCGATGGAGTCGTCTTGGGGGTAGGTCAGCCATCTGTCGGCAAAGTTCATCTTTCACCACTTCGTGATTCTTACAGACAAGACGGGAGCATATCTCATTGTTGATGATGTACCTGCACCGTACACTGGTGAAGCATAGCTTATTAATACATTGTTTGACTGGTCGGTGAACAGAGTAGTCTGGTACAAGGAAATTTCTCATCTCGGCACTCTGAAGTGGCATTCTTATCACTGGGTGAGGCTGTTTCTTCTGTAGCAGGGTCACTGACCAGATTTGGATCTTCTGTGAATGATTCTACAGTCATCTGGGTCACATCATCCGCCTCGCTGACCATTGACCCCCAGGGTTATCCATTCAGAGGAGATGGTGAGCACAGCAAGGAACAGCCAGACCTTGGGTCCCAAGAGCAGCATATTGTCTACGGTGCTCTACTCTATCCACCAAGTTCTTCGGCTGCTGTTCCTCCTGTGGCTGGAGCGTGAGATGAACGGGGCCACTCCCAGGAACGGACTTCAAATTTGGCCTCATCTGAAGCCTTGAAGGCATGAGAGAAGCCAGAGGAGAGGAGGAGAGTGCAGTGCTCAGCCCAGCTTGGTGGTCCACGTGGAGAGAGGGGGAAGGGAAGGAGGGCAAGGGAACAAGGGAGAGAGGGAAGAGAGGGGAGTGACCAGGGAGTGAGCAGCAAGGAGAGCTCTATTTGATACTTAATCAGTGTTCTTCCCACTCTGTTACACAAGTTTCGAGGAAGATAATCATTTTAAGCAACAATTCTCACACGCGGAGGCTCACTATCTGGGAAATCTGCTCAGCAGATGTGGAGCTCAGCCTCCAGTCATTCATTCCTCTACTTTGTTGGGGGGCATCTGGCTACATATTTCTACCTGAGTGGACTTCTGTCACAAGATGCATATATTACAACAACGGCAGTACTTCTAAGTCAACAGGAGAGCCAGTGTCTTGAAGGAAATACTCTTCACTAGGCTTTGATATCTTTAATTGGAATAAAATCTCAATGACAAGTAGTTTTTATTTACAGGCTTTAGTGAAAGGCTGTCCAACCCACTTGCACCTAAAGGAGGATACTATTAAGCCTTTTTACTTTTTCCTATGTTCAGTTTGCATACAAAAGAAAATTTGCTTCACATTCACAAAAATCCCAATATTATAAAAGAAAAATAAACCCACCCCTACCCATCCCTTTATTAAATATACAAATAGTTCAGAAGTACACATTTAGATTGGTTTAATCTTGAAATGTAATCCAATAAGACTGAAAACTAAACATTTCAGGTCCTGTACCAAATAATAAAACACTCGTAGGCCTTCAGGATCCCTGAAATTTAAAAAATAAAAGTTACTTTATATTCAGAGAACAATGTAGTTTTCTAACTTAATTCCTAAAACAAAACAAAATTAATGTGAAACTATAAAATAATTACCTTTAAGTTACTCAGATGAAAGGAATTTGCTGACTACTAAAATGAATATACTACACAATCCATTTTTTAAAATATACAAAGACTCAATTATACAGATGAGAAAAAAAATCAGTACTCATAATACTATCATGCCACTGCCCTTCAGGGATAATATTAAGTATTTTGGTATGCTTTCTTTCTTCTTTCCCATAACTGAAATCTCCTCCTTTGCTTCTTTTGCTTTTTTCCATAACTTTAAAAATAATTCACTAATTTTTTCAATAATTCTATCTTTCTTAGACATGTGGATACGTTTTTCAATAAGCAATAAATAATGTTTTAATGAACATTTTATGTATAATAGAATCTTTCCAATGTTTGAGATTATCTGCCTGGGACAGACTGCCAGAAGTAATGTGACTTGGTCAAAAGTAAATGTAGAA